CTCGGTATTCGTTTCGTACCGGTATGCCTACGGAAAGAGTTACAGCAATACGTCCAATCCCGCTTTCAATCAATTCGTCCAAGACGTTTTGAATTTAAAATGTAGCCGATATTCGATATTGATTTATGCATAAAAGCATTTTTATTTTGAAATTTTTACATAACAACCCAACGAATTCTTGCGAAAGGAAATCATTTCCAATTCCATTTTAGAAAACATATATGAATCCTTTTAGTTTTTTATCAGTGATATAAAAGAGAAGGAATGAATTTTTAGTTGACATAATTTTAAAAGCGCTATTAATATTTTCAATAGCATGTGTTTATCTATCTACCAATGCAAAATGTTATATATACATGCGTAAATACATGTAAATGAGAATTTAATTATTTTAGTTTTTTTTCTTTCTTTTCATTATTTGAAAAAACTCCTTTACAAATGAAATTTCTTTCTTCTTATGGTTTGAAATTAATTTAATTTACAATTATACATAAACACATTCGCACCCATGCATACGTACTCAGAAAAGGTAAGCAAAAAAAAAAAAAAAACCGGACAAGGGAAAAAATAAATTGTATCCTTTTATTGTATTTTTTTTTTTTCATTAAATTCTTTATTTTTTTTTGTTTTGTTTTGATGAAATTCTGTAAAAAGATTACAAAATGAAATTTATATTAAAACAGTTTGCAGTTATTTGCATACAAATGACTGAAAATGGGGAAAAAGGGAAGAAACAACAGAAATATATATATATATATTATTTTATATAAACATATGTACATATATATACATTTAAATATATATATACTTTAAATGACAAAACAAAAGGGGGAAAAAAAGGATAGGGAACCAGAAAGCCCAAGATTTAAGGTTCGCGACGCAATCGGTGCTTTTTTTTTTGGGTCGCATCCGATATCACCCTTGAATTGACGGTAACGTCCAGTTCACAATTGGACCCTTGTCTTTTTGGTATTTTCACTACATATTTGTGGATTGGGGATTATATTGTATTGAAAAATTTATTTAATTTGCACAGTCTGGCAGGAAAGGAACCGTAAAAGATTAATTACATTTTGCTTGTATATCTAACCGATGACTATAATCGAACATAGTTCGCGACTAACGTTCGAGCATAAGGATATTGAACAAGAATCCTTATGCTTCATCACACAATATATCATAGCAAACAAGGTCGCTTGAAAGCAAAGTTCTTAGGTAGATATTTTGTAACAGAAGAAAGTTTTCAACTTTAAAACATATTTTGTGAGCGTTCCAAAGATTTAAATGATTTTTAAAATTAACATGAATGAGATGAATTTGTGGTTTTAATCGAAATTCCCGAAACAGTTCGATAAAAGGCCCCATTGACTATGGATTGTCGAATATAAAATTGGCTTTTAATTAAAACTCTCGGAACAGTTCGATAAAAGCCCCCATTGATCTCTTGAAATATGTGGATTGGCGAATATAAATTCGGTTTTAATTCCCCGAAACAGTTGGATAAAAGCTCCCAATGACTTTGTCAAAATATAAAAGCGAACTGCATCTGCATTGCGGCATCTGGTTTACAACTGACACTGATGGGAGAAATATTTGATTTTTAAGTTATGTAAGCGTTCCATAAATCTACCATACATTGGTTTGCTTTTTTTTGTAAGTTGGGGAAATGTTGAAGCTTTGACTGGAAGGCGGTATTTTAAGTTTTTATCGCACTTGGGCCTATTTTATGCTTTTGCTATTACCTCTCTTGACCCGTTACGTCGATTAAATCTTCAATCACAATGGTATTCTCCTTTCCAAAAAGCTTAATCTTTGATTGTTCGCCAAGCCAAAATGCCGATATCCTCCCTACCATTCATCGAATTTTTTGCGAGAGATTTCTTTGAGTGAAACATTATTTCGCCATTTTTGATTTCCTTTATTTTAACCAAATTCTCTTCTAGTTTGTGTAGGTCATCTTTTTCCTTGACTTTTTTCAATTTTTTCTCAATGACAATTGCTTACGGTTTTTGGCTCTGATATTAAGTTCCATCCTGGCTGGCTTTCTTTAAAACTTCTTTGTCTTCTTCTTCTACTTCTAGCGCGATTTTGCTTTTTTTCGCAAGAGCAAAGGCCGCGTGTTCTCTTCGCCCTTTATTAATGTTTTCTTTACCTCTCTTTTCCGTTTCCGTTTTGTTTTTGTAAATCCCAGTGGTCCTCTCTTGTTCTGCACCAAATCCCTCATTGATTGATGAATGTCGCGCCTGGGAGAGGACCTGGAAGATTTCATACTCTAGCTTAGTAATTGCATCCGAGTATTTGCTGCGATTTGATGGCCATGAATGGCTTTTTTCCTACTCTTAACTTGCCGCCAGGCAGGAACCTCCTACCTTCCGCGAATTATGAGTTTGCATACAGTCCCGGATGCACAGTCTGCTCGCTTGGAGGTGTTTCTTTGTTCTTTTATTAAAATTCTCGTAAATATCTCCCAATAAATGGACATTGATTCATTAAGTCATTAAGAACATTCTTTAATGCGCAATTCATTTATTTTCTAATTTATTGTTTAAAGAAAGAAAACAATGTCAAAGGGGAAGAGTAGGATGATCCGGAAGAACAAATGGCAAAAGTACAGATGTAATCAAACTAATTTAGAGTTTCACGTTGCGCATTTTCGTGTATTGCAAGCGAAACGATAACACTTATGTGCTCTCAATTATTTGTTTGTGGACAAAAAATAATGAAAAGTAAGTAAGCTTTAGGGACACGCAACATTTTTAACGGCCACATGACAATTATCACTTTTGTTTTGTTTTTATTTAATTTTATTTAATCACTTGTCGGCGTAGGGTATGTTCACCCCATCTTGACGTTTGACATCAATAAAATATATAATTAATATAAACTATGCGATATTTTTTAATATTACTTCGGAAAAAGTCTTTCGCTTATTGTTCTGGGATGGAACCATATGTGGATAATGTAAGTGAAAAAATATGAGAGATGCATTAAAGAATTTTCGCAAGCTTATGGAAATTTTGTCTTTCGAAAAGTGCAATGGCGGTGAAAAATGGTTTGATTAAGTGATCAATGCTATCGAAAATTGTCCTTTACGATGATGATCCGAGTCAATCTGTTTATCTGTATCGGATAATAGAGTTGTAGTTTTTTAGGTCTCATAAAATTTGACAGACAAACAGATTTGTAACCTGGGTTTAACATGGGTGCCTGTTTAACCGTGGGCTTAACCCCACGGCAGACAAATAATATGATTGATAAAATTCGATCCAAATAAAGTGTAGTTTTTTTTTTACTTTTAACCCCTATACTGTTTATTATACAGTAACAATAGAAGAGTAGCCGAAGAGATTGAGTTGAACTTAGAGTTCAGTTACAATTTCCTCTTCAGACAACTTACTTGCAATTCGAGAATATTTTTATTGGCCGCGAACTGTACTAAAAAGGATTGTAAATAGAATTTTTTTGTTTTTTTTTGGCTGTAAAAGTGAATCCTAACGGAATTACAAATGATTTTGATTTCCTCTTTATATTTATATTGTTCTCGTTTTAATGATACGCTTGAATTTTTTCCAATTAATTTTTCTCAAAATATAAATTTGTTTTCGATTTAATTTATTTGCTGTGAAGATAACAACATATTTTTCGACCGCTGGAGCTGAAGCTGAAGACAAATTTTAGTGTGAAGTCAATGAATTTATTCTTCTTTTATTTTATGTTTTTATTTATTTACCGGGTGTTTTTCTTAATTAAACACCAACATAGTGTTGGACATAGTGTTGTGGATAATTTCTAGTTTTAACTGCTTATGGAAATCAGGCAAACTTTGAGTAAAAAAAAAAAAAAGAAAAAAAAAATTTTTTTTTTTTATTAGTACACTTTTAATTTATCCTTTTTTTTTTTTTTGCTGACTTACTCTTTGCTCTCGTTATTCATTCTATATTATTATAACTTTTAAGTTTAATGGGTCGTTAAAAAACCAAGAAAACTTTGGGGTGAAAAAAAAAAAATATTGAAAATTTTATTAATAATTGAAGTTAAAATACTTCACCTTTTACTTACTCTTTTTTTTTTTTTTGTTTTCTCTTCATCTCACCTTTATAGCTGTCGCTATTCGCTTGCTATCCCAATTTCTCTTAATGGATAACTAAATTCGAGTGTATTTGCTAACCAGCATTAGGGTTATGATTTACTTCAACTGTATGTTGTAAATAACGAAATTTTAAGAGGGAGAATAAAAAAAAAAAAAAAAAAAAAAAAAGAAAAGAAAAGAAAATATGACATTAAACCTTGCAAAGTGACAGGTTTGTCATTTTAATGCGACTCTTTTTAACAAATTTGAATTAGTTATTGAAGTAGAAAAACATTACTCGCAACGTTAGATAAAATATGCGATTATTGTAAAGGAGGAAATAAGCAAGAGATGTAAATTCTTGAGATAAGAGGCGGGCTTCAGGGCTTTAAGGTATGTAAAGATAATCCAATCGAACAAGTGGATCAAATTTCGGAATTACTTTTATTGTTACTATTATAATTATAACTTATGTTGATCAAAGGAATAAATTCTAGGACTGAAAGTAGGACGAGCCCTAATGCATCGAAAAACATCATGCATTTACGGTTTCTTTTAGGTGCAAACTTATGTCCACATATGTGAGGACTTGGTTCACGTTAACTTCACTTAGCATTTTAAGAGAATTTCGACGAGATTTTCTTCTTCCCATAGATCTAAACTTTGACCATTTAGAGGAATATGATCCTAACTATAGCTGTTCAAGACTTCTTATGTCGTGTTATTCTTCAGAGCGTTTCAAACGGAATGATAAGTTGAATGCATTGCCAAATTGTGTGTATTCGTTACAAAAGCAACAAGAACAAAATCACTAATCAAATTAATAGCGAAAACTTGCTATAAAAAGGTGCAAAGTAATAGAAATGAATTTTGATCAGATACAATCAAGAACGAAAAATATCATATAAAATAAATCGGAAAAAATACTGATACGGAAAGAATAAAAAAGAAAAGTTTAGAAAATGTAAAAATCCTTTAAATAGTGATAGGTGTTGAAAAAGTTATTTATCTACGAAATCAAAATGAATACTTTCGCAATACCTAAATTTGGGGCTCAATTGGGTAATGGGTCCGTTTTGGATAAAGTAAGTTAAACTCTCGGTTCAGTGTTTAATTATTTTAATGATAATTTTTAATGACGCGTATAAATAGGTTACTCCCGATATGGCTCACATAGTAAATACCTATTGGGGTCGTTTCCCACCCATGGATACTAAAATGAATCAAATGTTGGGTGTTTTCACTTTTGTTATCATGATTATATCCTTGTGCGGCAATGGGATGGTGGTTTTAATATTCGGTACTACAAAATCGTTGCGTACGCCGGCTAATCTTTTGGTTTTAAATTTGGCTTTTTCCGATTTCTGTATGATGGCTTCCCAATCCCCAATAATGATTATTAATTTTTATTTTGAAACGTGGATATTGGGTCCATTATGGTGTGACATTTACGCAATTTGCGGTTCTATGTTTGGCTTCATATCTATATGGTCGATGTGTATGATTGCATTAGATCGTTACAATGTCATTGTTAAAGGGATGTCCGGTCGACCTATGACTGTAAGCTTGGCACTAATGAAAATCGCCATAATTTGGTTGTTTGCAACATTTTGGACTTTAATGCCTATGATCGGGTGGAGTCGGTAAGTGTTGTGTGACAAGAAATCTTTAGTTTTTTTTTTTTTTTTTTTTTTTTTTTGTTTTAATAATATTTTTATTTCTTTCCTGGGGGGCCGGCCTTTATTACAGCTATGTACCCGAAGGTAATTTAACTGCCTGCTCAATCGATTACATGACACGTGATTGGAATCCACGTTCTTACTTAATCACTTATTCATTATGCGTTTATTATACACCATTGTTCCTCATTTGTTATTCGTATTGGTTTATTATTGCGGCCGTTGCCGCCCATGAGAAGGCAATGCGCGAGCAGGCTAAAAAAATGAATGTAAAATCTCTTCGGTCGTCGGAAGATTGTGAGAAAAGTGCCGAGGCTAAGTTAGCGAAAGTGGCATTGACCACAATTTCATTATGGTTTATGGCGTGGACACCATATTTAATTATTTGTTATTTTGGCTTATTTAAAATTGAAGGCCTTACGCCTACGGCGACCATATGGGGGGCGACTTTTGCTAAAACCAGTGCTGTATATAATCCTATTGTATATGGTATCAGGTAAGTAGTGAACAGTGTACAAAATGTTAATTAAAACAATTAATTTTTGTTTTTTTTTTTTTTTTTTCGTTTATTCATAAGTCATCCGAAATATCGGTTAGTTTTGAAAGAAAAGTACCCCTGTTTGGTTTGCGGATCAACAGATGAACAAAAACCCACAAATAGTGACAATCAAACTGTTTCGGATGCCGAGACAGCTACTTAATTAAAATTGTTATCGATTTTTGTTTTAAATTAAGAGCAATGTACCAAAAAAAAAAATGGGCCAAAAATAAAAAAAAAAAAAAATACGTGCCAAATGAGTTACGTAATTGCAATGAAAATTTTTGTGACTTGGATAAAAAACGAAAAAAAATTACGTCAAAGCAAACGTTCTGGCAAGAAATTTTGGAATATTTCTTTATATTCTCTCTCTCTCTCTCTCTCTATAAACCTGTTGTTGAAATTACAAAAAGTCCTTAGGATCTTTTTCTAGAAACGGCACAGTAATCGTATTTGTCAGCAATTCCTAAACTACGGCTTCTTCGTTTGAATATGTTATCTTAATTGAAGTTGGGTGCAGTATTGTGACACCATTACGAGGGAAATGCTACCATTCACGCCTATAGGGATTGTTAAGTGTGATGACATTCGAATCCTCATGATAGGAAAGATTGACAAGTTTGAACAAAAGTGTGCTACCTTTCTCGGAGCATTGATTAGATAAAACAACTAATCATTGGTTTCACTCTATGACTCAATGACTTTCTAATTGTGTCTTCCAATAAACAGTTCTTTCTTCGTATCTTGAACGACGTTACAGACTCATCAGCACACAAGCTACAAGTTAGTTTTTTGTTTGTGGTTCGCATGGTTTAATTACCAATTTTTTCCCCAAATACCACCAAATATTTGGGAAGTGTTGCCTATTTGTGTAACATGGTAGCGGCCAGAAAGAAGTGAGGAAAGAGATAGGCAGGTTGCAGTAGATTCGTCGGTAAACCGGTAAATGTTATGCTTTTACCGACGGTGTACTCATTACAGACGCAAGCAGAATAGACTTTACAGTATTGAGATTTGAACCAACGCACACTGATCTCGTTTTACAAACGACAAAACTTATACTGAAGTGTACGATTATCCCTAATTCATAGTACCTTCATAGCACCTTCATCGTCAGTACCAAAACCGATACAAAGTCAAAGAAATAAAACCAAAAAAATAGTTTGTTTTCTCTTATGCCAGATTATATGATTAATTTTTCATGGAAATCATATCCTGCCTAAGAGATGGCTGACAGCGAACAGCACTTTCAGTAGACATTAAATTATTATTATTTCTTTTTTTTTTTTGAGAAAAGCTATTTTGAGTTTATTTAAACAGTTGGTATATGAGTGATTCGAAAAGGAAGGCAGAGAGAGAGAGAGAGAGAGAGAGCGAGATAATAAATATTGAAATATTTTTCTATGAATCCGATAACCCTGTAGATGTTACTTTAATGGTTGTAATAAAATTTGTGCTCAATTATGGAAAATTCTTTACGAGTTCCGTCAAAAATTTAGCTTTTAATGGAAAAAATCGTATAAAGAGAAAATAAGATAGTGAGAGAGATAAGCACACATAAGCTCTAGCATATTTGATTGATTTTGGGAAAAGCACTTTCTATAGGCGGTGTTAGGCGGTATTAAAATCAAAACTCATAAGCTAAGCACGTTGAGAGAAAGAGGATGGATTGTCGGCTTAATGCTGTTCACCAATTAAATCTGTTGAATAAACTTAATGCAGTGACTTAATATCTTGCATATGAAGATATTATGGTGACTGTAATGAGATATGTGTTTTAATAAGAATCGACAATACATTCATTTTTAACCGGACAATTGCATTCAATGTTCTTTTACTTAATGTTTTTCTTTTTGAATAATGCTTCGAGCATTTGAGGAAACATAATATGTGAGGATCATATCACAATCAATTGCTTGGAAATATGTTTTGATATTCTGAGCATAGTTTGCATATGTTTGATAAGTAAGAAAACTATATAAAGAGATGTTCAATATTTAATGTAATGCAGATTAAGAATGATGTATGCATACACACGCACACGAACACGCATATGCGCGTATTTTAGGTGCAGCAATTCATCATTTATTGTAATGCAAGAAAAATTTTGTTTCTTTTATTCTTTTTCTTAACCCATGCGATAGTACATCTCCGATGAAATATTTTATTCCCTAAGGAATTTTCAAAGAAATTGATATTGAGAAAAGAAATGATAACAAAAAGAAAAAAAAAAAAAAAAAAAAAAAAAAAAAAAAAAAAAAAAAAAAAAAAGATGAAATTGAAATTTTTTATATAATTCAAAAATAATATTCTCTTGTATTCCCATTATAATACTGTTATGATTGCCTCTCTAAAGTACATCAATTGCTGCGGCGACGAGGAGCCGTTACACGCACATGTATCCTTTCAAACACACATCCCAGATAGCTACTAAATAATGTAAAGCGAAAAAACGACAAGGGGAATATCATATTTGAATCGATTCATTCAGTTTTACAAGCTTTTGCATTTTTATTAAAAAAAAAGTTTTGGTTAAATGTGTTGGTTTAACCACAACACACATTTCAAGTAACATAAATAAATTTTCATAACACCACGATCAGGTAGTAGGGTTGGTATCAATCAATTGCCTATTTATACAGGTTAGAGTTAGTCGTCTATCTTCTACTAATTCGTTCTCCTCTCTCTTCTCTCCTCTCATCCTTTCGCTCATTCGTATCTGTTCGGCTAGCCATTTAGCCAGTTACTTATCTGCCTATCCAATCCCCTTCGGCGTCCCTTCCGCCGTCGGCTTGGGCCCTGGTTCGGCGGTTAATTTCTACATTCTGTGCTTCTTTTGTTCGTCAAGTTCACCACCGTTCTTCTGACAAATCGTTCAATTGGTCCAACCTAAATCAACCTATCCGATATGATGTTTGATGAATGTCTGACACGTCAAGTTTACAAATAATTCCTAATAAATTGCATTTTATTTTACATTTACATTTTACCGATATTCTCTGGTTTATTGGATTATATAAGCATTTCAAAATTTATTGTTTTTTTTTTTTTTTTTTTTTTTTAAATCTATATTATAGCTGTTGGCAATTTAATACATGCTCGTTAAGATATATGCAAAAAAGAAAAATTTCATTTTCAGTGTTTGCAATGAACATTGTGTTCAATTCTTTCTATACGTGTCTTGTTAGAGAAGCACTAGAAGAACTTTTCTATATGTTATAATTATCGAGAGCGACATTTTTATCGCTTTACGGGCGTAATATATTTTAATTATGATGCCTGATGTGAATGTATGGGACTGGAGCGTCAAAGTGATAAAAATTTAAATAGAGAAAGTTTGTACTTACCTTAGTCTCTCCATGACTCATACCGATAATTAGTTCGACGAAATCTGCAAAAAAAAAAATGTGAAAAACGAAAATTTTACCTTAGTATAACTTATTCGAAATTATTATATATCATAAAATTCAGTATTTAGTGATGAAGGATCACATCTTAGGCAAACACTTAGAAAATCTGTTCTCAGCAAGAATAAGAGAAAAAAAAGAGTGAAGGATGGAAACACTTTTTTCTCTCACCTACGACCCGATCTAGATAGAGAGCCCATTAAACTCGAAAGAGATATTAGTTAGCCATGTACGCTTACTTTCAGTCCGTCTACGGCAATTTATGACATGTTAAAGTTCAGTACACCTGCGGAATGTCGGGGCTTAACATTTACGAGCCCTAGTATTAATTCTTTATATTAAGAACTTATTCGTTTTCAATTCTTTATTCATTACGAATATTCCCTTGGGATGACTTCCCCCCCCCTTTCAACATCGTACAATTTAGTTCGAGTGGCAATGGCGGTCTGGATGCGATGACAATGTAAGTCTGCTATGAAAGCATAACAAGAGCAAACAAGAGGATCTCTCACTTCGTGATGTGGGCGAAACACATCGATGTGAAGAGACCAGGTGATCCATTTTGATTGCGGTGTAAGGAAAACCCCCTAAGATATTAGGTCTAGTTAGAGATTTCCACCCATTTGTTGCTAATGCGGAGTAACAGTAAAGCAGATAAGCGGTATGCTCGGGTTCGTTGATAGTGTTTACAAAAGTCACTTTATAAATTTAGGGTTCGAAGATTGCATGCTACTTGGCGACTTTCTGTCTATCGGAACTTTCTCTGTCATAGATCAATCTAATGTTAGACTATCGTAAATTTCTGGCGATTTCCAGGCAATCTAGAGACAACTTTTTGAATTATCGATAAGATATCCAATGCACCATTTCTCCCATATAATGGGAGGTAATGAATTTTGACATTTATGCATTATTTTGGTGTTTTATAATATTCATATAACTTGGCAACTCTTCTACGGAAACAGTATGCTTTACATACTGCTTATATAGAAATTATTGAACATTAAAAATAAGGAGGGGGGAGAGAGAGAAAGAGAGAGAGAAAGAGAGAGAAAGAAAGAAAAAAAAAAGAAAGAGAGATAGATAGAGAGAATGTAAAACATAATTTTATTTTTATTTAATTTAACTATAATTGAAGTTTATGATGTGCAAGCAGTTTTCCATTGAAATCAATTAAAATTCATATGAAATTGTAAATATCTCTTGGATATAATAAGTTGTGTTACCGTTATCCTATAAAGGATAAAATGATTAAAATGACGTGTTTGCGAAGCATTACAGAAAACTTTATATTAAGTTTATATTAAAGAATAATATTTTTTTCCACAAATTTACCTAAAAACAATTATTTAAATGTATTCCATTTTTCATTATAGTAAATTGACTACGACTGAGAATGTTACAATAGTAGTAGTCAACGAATGTGACAATTAATACAATTAAACGTAAAAGTTTTAACAATGATCGTTTTCCTATCAACTAAAAAGACTTAAGAATTAAATTTCATGGGGAAGACTGTCTGTCTATAGTGTGGATAGTACTTTCTCTTTGAAGTGTTTTACTTACAATGAATTTTCTTTTTTACTTTTCAACTTAAAACCGATGACCTTAGATGTTAATACTTGAAGACTTTCTCTGGCGAAATCAATAATGATAACAATAATAACACTGCGCTAAAGTATGGTAATCTTTGTTAGAACGAAGGTAACCAAATAAATATCGCGTAAGCACGCTACGATCTTTAAATTGAGCTGCTTAAGAAATTTAACTTAAATCTTAAACTAGTATCTGAAATATTATTAGTAACTGAGT